AAAACGGGAAGACAGACCAATTTAAGAATAGGTGGATGGTGACATGCCACTAACTAATTACCAATCCAACTTGTATAGTATAGATAACAAACAACCCTAAGGAAATTGTTGGGCATGTGACTCGGACCAAACCGCACCAGAGAAACGCACCGACATCATCCCAGTGGCTGCCGGACCCGCCTAGGCGCGCCACGACCGAAGACCTCTCGCGCGACACAGCGCGAAGACACCGGCGCGGCTCAGCGCAAAGACCTCGAGCACGTTACGGGCCACGCGCACGTAGAGAGGTTGAAGCGTGGACCAGACCAAAGAGCCGCAGAAAGCGTCATCGCGCTTCCCTAGAGGTAGTCACATCAAGGGCCTTGGTACAGTCATAGGTAAATCTCTAACATGTCCTAGGTAGAGGCATGGCCTAAATCCCAGACATGTCAATGGTCATGTCGTCGTACCATCATGTAATCCAACCACTCACCCACCACCATGTAGCCTATAAATATGACATTTACTCCGGTGGGTGAAGGAATCGCATTTTTCACTCTCTCACTCTACTACAAAGAACTTTCCCTCTCTAAAAGCTCTGGTGTCGAAAACCTTTCTATTGTTTACTCTTCTCACCCTTCTTTCTCACGAGTCTACCTCCTACCCTCAGTTAGACTCAAACAGAAATAATTGCTTAATTAAATGGCACATTGACTCTATTATTTATATTCGTTTAACCCATGCAAGGAAGGAATCTAAGGGCCGGTCCGGTCTGCATGCAAGTACGTAACAGTGGGATCGTTGGCTTCTTTTTATGGCTAAAGTCGTCCACACAATATAACATACTGAAACCACAATAGAAAATTTGAAATCTCATATTAAAAGATGTTGTCTTATGTGCAACCACTTTATTATTATGTCCATCAGAATGACGAACTTTTAATTAACACTAGGGATTGGGAAAGTAATGGGTTCTCAACATGGTTGTCATACCAGTGGTATGCCGGCCGGTTGAACCAGGTTCAATCGGTGCCGGTGATGAAACCGGCTGGAATACCACCGGCATAACCCTCTGGTCAATTCCGGTCAATACCGGTCAAACCCGGTCAAAACCTGGAATGTCAGTGGTTCAACCGGAATAGAAAATGCCGGTCTGATAAGCAATCCGCCGTCGTTCTGTCGAAATGGATTAGGCTTCACTTAGGGATTTTGCAGGCGAGCTCCCAAGACCCATCCTCGATCCCTAGTCTTCTTCGCCTCATCACAAGGTCTTGCTCGAGCAACTCTTTCTCCCGGCGCCACTTCCTCCCGGCCCGTCTTTCTCCGGTGACGCCACCGGCCACCGCATCTTCCTCCGGCGAAGCTACCAGTTCTATGTCATCTTCCTCCTGGCGCATCTTCCTCCTGGCGACGCCACCACATCTTCCTCCCTCTGCAATCTGTTTGTAGATAATCTCTGTTGAGGGTAGCCAAAATAGATGGAAATTGGGAGGGTTTGGTTGGGCATGACATTCTATGTAAAAGGGTAAAGGAGGAAGGGTTCATGGGTGGTGTTTCTGCGAGCCCAGTGTTGTGGCGGTGGCGGATTGGGGATATAAATTAGGGTTTATATTTTTTAGGAATGTTTTATTATTTTTTATACATATTTTCTTAAACAGGTATAAACCGGTATGTATACCGATTATACCACGGTTGAACCATTTCATTTGTGAAACCGGCACACCGGCATAAACCGGTTTGACAACCTTGGTTCTCAATATATATAAGAACTTTTATTTATTTATTTCTTATCTCGTGTCCTAATTGGCCAGCTAAATTGCATGTGTTCCGTAATTAGTTAGAGTTATTAAAATTTAAAGCACAAGCAGCCAAAACCTACCAAAAATCGAAATCCTTACGAAAAAATCGCGCTACACTGTTCACGTAGAGGGTTGGATGATTCCCTGAGGCCTGATTCACGTGAGCCCATCTGTATTTCTCTTGGATAGGCCAAGCAGATGAATGAGCTCGCATTAAGTAAGCCACACCTGATCGTCGCCCTCATTTATTTATTGTTTAAAACATTATAAGAAATAAAATAAAATACTCCTTTTTCCCAACTCCCAAAGAACCCACACCCTCTGTACTGACTGTACAGTCGGCGATCAATTCCCATATTTATTGAAGAAATTTTCTGGACATCGAACCTTTTGGAGGACGATTCCTTGAAAGTGTAAGATGAAATTCAATTTGTTGTTTGTACTTTCTTGATTACTTAAAAAAATTCTTCAACTGTGATGTAATGCGCATATCTCCGAGTTTTCAATTCATATCTTACTGCTATAATATGTTGGTGACACGCCAAAATTCACTGCTTCATGTCTTTGCTGTATCATAACATGGTCTTGGGCTAACTAGATAGATGGATGGTTTATAAGCATCATTGCTCTGATTTCGCAGCTGAATGCATACGTTTTGGTGCAGAATGATGGATGTATGCTAGAGGCCTTTTCTGCCATTGTTAAGGTGTCATTCTATTAAGGTCGTCTTCTCATATATGATCCAATTCTTTGAGGTTAGAGCCTTTAGAGTAGTTGTCCAATTACTTTAACTTAGCAACACGATTTAATGTGTATTGGTGGTTTTGACACGTCAAAATCACAGGGTATAAGAGCCATATAACATAACAAAAGTTTTGTCTCAAAGTTACATCTTCAAGCAAGCCCTTTTGCAATGGAGTTGAGTTAGAGGAGGCCAGATTCATACAACCGGCGAGAAGTTTACTTTACGTAGGATGCAAATCTGCTCTTTGGAGGAGAAGGAGCCATGGCGATACTGAGGCTTCATGGAACCCCAGTACCAACATGGAAGCTCGCAAAGTGTAATTCCTGAACTACTTTCATATGCTTTTGGACTTACGGTTCTCATTTCCATCTTCTCTTCCATTTAGATAACTATAAAGTTATCCTATTTGAAGGAGTGAACTCTATTACAACATATCATAAAACTAAGTGGCCATGTGTTTCTCTTTTGCTTAATCTTTTATTGTACCGTGTATAGCTCCATTCAAATGTTCAAATGACAAGCTCTTGCACACCCTATCCTTTTCTTTGCTTTTTCAGACTCCATGGAACCTACTCACGTATTAGGCATGTATCTGTACGTACGTATGTAAGTGACTATTTTCACATTTAACGCGATTCGCGGTAAATCGTAGGAAATGAGTAAAACTACGTCCACTAGGGGTGGGCATCGGTCCGGTCCGGGCCGAATCAGACCGAATTCTGGAGAATCGCGGTCCAATAGAGAAAGATAACTTAGGACCAAGGACCGGATCAATAGTGCATTCGGTCCGTTTGGTACACTTTGGTCCGGTCCAAATGTCAATTCGGTCCATTTTCCTTCGGTATTTTATAAAATTCACGGGACCAAAGACCGAACCATATTATATTCGATACGGTGTGGTTCGGTGTATACACAACTGGCAGGCCAGTAGCCCATTCTCCGAAATTGGACGAGAGAGCAATTTGATTAATTGAGGTGCATTATTCCGGCAGACGGCAATACGATGGTGACATGCAACGAATTTTACCAATCCAGCATATAGAGTAAACGAAGAACCCTATAAGAAGAAATATTTGTTTAAATCACTAATTACCAATCCTGTGTCACATGCAGATTCTTTCTACTTTGGATTAGTAGCCAGAATCACTCACTTAGTCACTTGGGGTTTAACGTTGAAGGGATGCATGTGATATTTTATTTTCTTGCTAATACTGCATAATGAAGTTGATATAATAATATATAAATAGTTAGATGGTCAAAATTAATCCAACTTTACAAACGAAACTAGTGAGTGAGTAATGAGAGAAAATCGTACGCACGACTGGCCGGTGGTCAGTATCCATTCTCCAAAACGGGAAGACAGACCAGAAGGTTGGTTGGATGGTGACATGCAACGGATTGCCATTCCAACACATATAGTGAACAAAGAACCCTAAGGTAATATGTGCTTAAACGACTAATTACCAATCCTCTATCGAACGACCCACACGTACATTTTTATTTTCTGTCACATGCAGATTCTTTCTACTTTCATTTAGTAGCTAGCTACAAACAATCCCTCACTTTGGGTTTATTAAATTTCGATAGGTGATGCATGTGATATTTTATCCTCTTGCTAATAGTGTATAACGATGTTAATACATGATATAATATAGTAAGATGAGAAATTAATGATTTTTGTACTTTTGATTCCTTCCATGTTGGCTCTGTTCGATTTGTGTCAATGAACAGACCACTTTAATTAGTCCCTACAACTCGTTGGTGTTTGAAATGAGTTTTATATGTCATTCGTTTGCTTTTTACACGCAGCCTCAGACAAATGTCTCTTCCCTTGTGCACCATTGTTTATATTGAGGATCGTCATAACAATTCGAAACACGATAACCTCTTGGTCTAAGGTTCTGATAGTACCATACCAGCGAACAAACTACTTAATTGCAATAACTTGGAGTTTGCATTAGTTTTATATGTCATTTCTTTTCTTTTTATAATTGGACTATATGCTATTTTCAGAGTGACTGCATAATTAAAATAATATATACCAATAAGAAAGAAGAAAGGGAATAGGGGATAGGGATGGCAATTATGCCCATACCCATGGGTATTTTACTATCCAACCCAATTGGGTTAGGTATGAAATCCAAATATATGGATATGTGTAAAGTTTGATCGGTTTGTACCCATACCAATTTACTTTGGGTTGGGTTGGGTTTATAACAAATGGATTTGGGTTTGTACCCATGCCCAAATACAAATTACAGTTTGGTACCTAAACTTAATAGTTATGCATATTTAGTACCTAAATTTAATTTTTTTTGCATATAAGTCCTCAAAATATCAATGGAAAATTACGTTTTGGTACCTAAATGTTTTTGGTCTTACATTTTGGTACCTAAAATTTTTCAAGTTTTACAAATAAGTCCAATTTTTGCATGTGTAGTTAAGACACCCTCAAGTAAATGGATATCCATATCCAACCCATACCCATTTAGATAATATCCATATCTAACCCAAACCCATATACAAACCCCAAACCCATACACACATCACCCAAACCCTACCCATAATAGATGGGTCTACTTGGGTTTGGGCAAAATTACCCATGGGTGGGTAAATTGCCATCCCTAATAGGGGATACAAACTCGACCAGATCCCAGTTCTTCACGAACAAGCAATATAGAAACACAGCAGCAACATCAAAGTCTGACACGGATCATAATCACCATCGTCATTATAATGAACGGTAAATATATGCACAGTTCAAACTTCATAGCAACATAACATGCACGAATCTATGTCAAATCTCAAGTAGATTAGCACAAACTCCCCTAGAAATTGCTTGTGTCAGCAAAAATATCAAGGGGCCGGGTACTTCACTGTTACTCCCCTCTGTACATCGGCTTTCGCTTTTCTGCAAATGCTGCCAAGCCTTCCAGTCGATCGTTCGTGTTCAGCAGCTGCTCGTAACACTCTTCTTCCAAGTCCAGTGCAGCCTGCAGATCAACTTCGATACCGTCGTTGATGGCCTTCTTCGCCATCCTGATCGCTATTGGACCCTGGCATATTTTTCGAGCCTATTAACAACACAATCTCCAATTTGGTTTCCTCGATCAATCTATACAACCTATTTTACTTACAATTCAAGAGATCCTGAGGATTAGAATCATCAAGGATAATAATTCTTGTACCTTGCTGTTGATTTCTCGAGCAATTTCAAGCGCTTTTGGACGAGCTTCGCCTGCAGGTACAGTATAATTGGCGAGGCCTGTGGCATGACTCATTGTTAAAGCTGAATGCTGATGGATAACATATAAAGCACATACAGAACATAATACAAAAAAAGACTCAAATCTTATACCAATGGACATTGCCTCTTTGGCCTCAATCCTTCGACCGGTAAATATAAGTTCTTTCGCCACTGCTTTCCCAACTAGTCGAGGAAGTCTTTGAGTCCCACCAGCCCTATTAAGTAAATTCTATTAGACACTGACCTCTTTCGACTGAGTACTATAGGAAACTATATAAGGCTAAGCCATTTTCAGATAATTATACTGTTTCTGATAAGAAGGATCCAATATTACAAAGCACTAATGTCGACAGAGCATTTACCCAGGAATTATAGCAAGTCCTGTTTCTGGCAATCCCAGAACTGCATTTTCTCCTGAATAAAATTGAATTTATGTCAGTTAGAGCATGAAGTGATATCAGTAATGTACAGAATTACATGCTCTTAATTCCTCAGTACTAACCACAAATCCGGAGATCACATGACAAAGCCATTTCGAGTCCACCGCCCAATGCTGCTCCTTCAATAACAGCAATAGTGGGAACACGAAGAGCCTGGATTAATATAATGCAGTACCATTTTGAATACATCAGACTATAATCTTAATGTTGTCAAATGTTGCAGGGAGCTCCGCTGAATTACACTTTCAAACAAAGACACGATTTTCCTTTCATTTGGCATTCAATGCAAGACACTAACAGAAGTAGAGCTATATTGCAAGCACTGTACCTCTAAGAGTGCAAATGTAGATCGCAATGAGTTGACGAAGAACTGAACTTCTGATGCAGTCATTTCCTTGCGTTCCTGTCCATCCAAGCGAAAAAGACTGCAGCATTAGTCAATCTTATCACAGCTCCATTCTTATTCATACTTCAAGATAGATTCTTTTTTTGATAGTTTACTGGGCATAATCACATAGCAAGATATGAAGTTTGTCTGAAAAAAGTAAAGCAAATATGGAAAAACCCAAATTGAAGTAATCGCCAAGAGTGTAGATGAGTTAGCCAAGCCAAGAACAAATTCCAATTGAGTTAAGAGAAATCAAGAACAGTACTCCGCTTAATACAAATATCAAAATTTCTTTCCTGTCTTTGCTCGAATCGAAATCGTCTCATTCGATCCCATCTCAATTCCGACATGATGGAATCAAAAGTTTTAACTCTCGATTCAAAGCCCTAAGTTTTACCTTCAAATCAGCCCCAGCACAAAACGCCTTAGGAACAGAGCTAGAGATCATCACCACGTTGGCATCGTCGTCCATCTCCAGCGTCTCGAAAGTATGCCTCAACCCTCTCAACATCTCGTTCCCAATCGCGTTCTTCGTTTCCGGCCTGTGCAAATTCACCTCAACTATACCTGCAACCAAACACATCCAGCAAACTGATTTCTTCTCTGGGTTTCTTTCCCCCGGCAAGCTCAAATTGAATCTCTTACCAGAATCGGCGTCGGAGAGCCGCCGCACCTGGACTGATTCGGACGACAAGGGCTCCAAAATCAGCGTCCTCCAGCTCTGATACTGATGATGTAATTTGAATGGCCCCGAAGTCTTCTTCGAGTAATGGCGGGTAAGAGATCTCGTAACCATCCCCAGAGCTCCCATTTCTTAAGCAGAATTGTTGAATACTTGAAGTTTCTTGATTGGATACTGATTACTGTGAGACTTCAGCCGCGGGATAGTAAGGCGAGAAGATGAATGAACAGGTGGGCGGCGGCGGTGACCGTTTTGTAATATTCCCTGACCAAAGTCCGAAAATTAACCATTTTTAATTTAAGAGTTGCGCGGTAATTTTACCACCATTTTCATTTTTCCCTCGAAAATTTCCGTGGCGCCAAAGGAGTCCCGCGGGGCGGTATATTCGAAAAGCTCAAAACTTTTTGTGTGTATTTTCACTCTTCTTCTGGGTTCCCCCCATCTTCTTCCCAGTGCTCGGACGTCTAATCCATGGAAAGAATGGCTGATTCCGAGGTAAGGATCCCCGAATTCAATATCCCCATTTCTCTATCTCTGTCTCATTTCTTCTGTTTGGTTCCTGAGAAACTTGAAAAAAGAAAGGTGCTGATTTGGATCTGGTAATGTCGATTTGCAGGTTTCCCACTCTTCGGATTCGTTCTCGCTTCCTTCAGGTAAACTGTGAAGCAGTTATTTTGTGAATCGGTAATCTCTCTTCGGTTCAGGCTTTTGTAAGCTGATTTCCCGCCCTTTTGCTTGCAGAGCCTCCTGATTTAAGGAACTGGTTTTCTAGCTACCAATATGACTCTTTCGTTCTGGATACTTGCGACGACGCATTCAAAAGCCGAGGTCAGAAAGATCCCTCTATTGTTGATGTTGCAGACAAAATCAGGGCAAATGAAGATGAGAATTTGAGTGAACGCCTGGAAACTGGTGAATGCGGCGAAGGGAGTGAGGTAATGGAGCTTGAACCAGTATCAATCACTAGTCTAGTTATCAGCTTTGGTTCTTCATTAGGGTTAATCAAGGTTCAATTCAAGTGCTTTTGCTTGCATGCGATTTTAGCTATCAAGTTTGTGTATGGGCCTATTTAATCAAGGGTTGAATTCAAGTGCTTGAGTTCTCTAAGCTCTGCACTGTAGTAATTATTCCATCAGAAGTGCTTCTAGTGAGTACTCTCTGTATATTTATTATTTTGGTGAATATTAGGAGTTGTCATGTTTTGCTTACATGTACTTTCGCTCTTGTAGGCTCCGGAATCTACATACTCGCCAGCTTTCCTTAATGGTTAGTGTTGTGAAATGCTATTATAGGAGTTCTTTCTTTGGTTTTAGTAGTTTTCAAGAGAGTGCCAATCAGTTAGATTTCCTTGTGGATGATCAGTATAATGTGAATGGTAACTTGTATCATAAATGTCTGTTTTCAGAACTTAACCACCCAGAAAACTGGCTTTCTAGCTATGTATCTGACTCTGGTGGGCTGGATCATGATGGAGAACTTGAGACGCCTGCTATTTGGGAAAGTCAAGGCAACGAAGGTGCCTTTATCGAGGAAGGCATCAACAGAGAACCACATTTTGAGAATTCGAAGGAGAAAAGCGAGGTGGCGCTTGAAAAGCCACCTTCCTCAGATGAGGTAATCGCAAATGAGTTCCAATATAGAGAAGGAAATGAAGACAGCCCTTTGGTGAGTTATTTCTTACTTTTACATCTCCATCTCCATCTCCATCTTGAACCAGTATCAATCACTACTCCAGACATTAGTTTTGGTTCTTCATTAGGGGTTTATATCACAGATGTACGCCACGACGGTTCTATAAGCTTTCATTGTACCAAGTATTACAGAAGGATTGCTCATAGTGGGTAGTTCCTGTGTCTTTGGTGGCCATTAAGTGTTGTCATATTTTTCTTCATTTCATTCTTGTAGGGGCCAGAACCTTCATGCTCGCCACCATTCCTTAATGGTTAGTAGTCTGAATATCTTATACTTAAGTAGTTTTCCAGACTGAAATTCAAGAGTTCGTATCAGTTAGGTGATCCATGTGAATGGTCAGTATAATGTGTGGCAACTTGTTTCTTTGATCCTTTGTTTTCAGAACCTGAACACCCTGAAAACTGGATTTCGAGCTATGTATCAGACTCTGGTGGGTTGGATCCTGATGATGAACTTGAGAGTGCTGCTGTTTGGGAAACTCAAGGAAGTGAAGATGGCTTTATCAAGGAACACAGTGAGACTCTTGTAAAGCTGCCTCTGTCAGATGAGTACTTCGTAAATGATTGCAAGTTGGGCGAAGCAAATGTAGACAGCCCTTTGACAATGGTCAGTCCTTTGTTTCCCTCCATCTTGAACCACATGCAAGTATGCAACACTACACAGAATGGTCATTCTTTTGCCTTTGAAGTATGCTGCTTGTGGCTTATGTTGTGTTGTTCTTGAAGTTGTTAATGAGCTTTAACAAAACGTAAGGTGGTGATTGGACCAACTCTTGACCAATGTTCATTGTTTCAGGATCCTCTTTCCCAGTCACCATCAGCACTCCTATCTGGTAACTATCTATTGTGAAACTTCTATTCTTATTCACCTGACCAGAACTTGCAGTCCAGTTGTTTAACTTGTCCTGCACTTTCAACACTTCCAGAGCCACCTGACATTAGGAACTGGTTCTCCAGTTATGCATACGAATCTCCTGCGCCGGTAGAAGAATGCAGTCCATGCGCCAAATCTGAGTTGCAACATACAGACGACCTTATCATTAACGGAGAAGGAAATGAAGTTGGAGAACTGAAATCTCAATGCATAGACATGGATCAAGGGAACATTGATAGGGAATTCAAACTCGATGCCCGTTTGCATTGTAACAGCTCCTCAAGAAATAATAACCACAGCCACCTCCTGCATTCAGATATGGTACCATTATTTCCCTTGTCTCCTACCTACTACTAAGTCAACTTCCAATCATCTGGTTGATGTAGCTTTATTCATGATTCTGTGGCATATCTTTTGTAGAGCATCCCCAAGGCCATGAAGAGCCTGGAATCCTACAAGATTCATAACAGTAACAAGAAATCTCCAACTAAGTTGACTCCTGGTGTAGATGCACATTCATTTGAGGAGTCAAAAGCAGCAGAATCAGATGAAAGCAATGCCAAGTTGATTGCAGAATCAAACAATGGAAGCAACATTACCGATCATGAAGCAAAAAATGCAGCTTCTTCTGCAAGTGGGTTTGTGGCAACAAGGAAGAAGAACAGGATCACAGGACTGAACTACGACGAGAACTCCTGTCCAGGATCGAGGATTGTTGCACCGAAAGGCTTCAAGAGTGAGAGGAGGAAGAATTTTTCATCATCATATGACAATGCAGCGAAGGATGATTCATCGGGAAACAGAAAGGCGCTATCTGAAAGAAGTCCAAATGTTGTGCAGCACAGTGAGATCACCGGGAAGTGGAAATGCCCTCAGAGGAGCAAGCCTGTCATGGGACCTCCATTGAAGCAACTTCGACTGGAAAAATGGGTGACTAGGCAGCTGTAGACCTTTTTGATTGCTCTTCTCATAATTGATATTTGGTTCCATATTTGTGGGTGAAAAAGAAAAAATTTTAAAAACATTGGGACACGGGGATTGAACCCGACGTGAATCGAACACGCAACCTTCTGATCTGGAGTCAGACGCGCTACCATTGCGCCACGGATCCCTTTGATGCCTTAGTTGCCCTCAGCAACATAAACTAATTCTAACTATTCAACGAATAGAGTGGACAGATTTTGTGAAATTGTCAATTGACGAATTGCAAGAATGTCAAGGCGCTGCTAGCTAGCAGCTTGAAGTTGTCAAGGCCCTTGAACTTGTCTATTGCTGTGTCTTTGCGGCGTTGTCAAAATTGAATGTCAACGCCGGAAATACGTCACCATTACCATGTAGATTTGTGCTTCAATTTGTGGGAATTCACCATATCGCAGAATGTCAACGGCACTCAGCTAATGAAGATAGATCTTATCAGAGTTGAATAAGAAGTTAAGAACTGCGGTAATTGATGGGAATTTACTATAAGTAGGTTGAAAGTCCGAGCTAGTGTTCAATTCTTGTTTTTATTAAGATTTCTATTTTCGTAAATAGGAAGTAATATGTTAAACAAAAATAACAATTCATATAATAAAAAATTTCAATAAGGGAAACCAATAGATGAAAAATATAAGCTAACTCCGGTTCAACAAAGAGTGTGTTTAGTCCAAGGATTGAAAATCCGTAGCGTATCGACGGTTCGATCAGAAAAATCTCCTACCAGAAGTGAAATCGGTAAGTGGTATTTAGTTGTATGAAAAGATTGAACAACTGTTTCAGCATAAAATACCATATCGCTGACTTTTCCAATACGACATTCGTTACGGTATATTAATCCTTGTTCAGTCACAATTTCATTAATCCTTGTTCAGTCACAATTTCTTGAGATGTTTTACTCTCAAATTTGGATCCATTGCACTATCTTTAACTGATCATACAAAGTGTAATAAAAATTCCTCTTTGTAAAACCAAAGTCAGGGAACCAACTGCAGCATTTATATTTCCGCGTATATGGCAAATTGGTCGGAGTGTAACAACTAACAACTTTAGAAGAAGAAATAGTGGTGCTGTACGGAGAGAGGGGGGGGGGGGGGGGGGGGGGGGGGAAGAAGAAGAAGAAGGGGGAAACGGAAGTTTTATTTTTGAAGTTTTCACAATAAAAAAATGTGTCATACATATTATTATAAACAATCAACTTAAATGTCAAACAAAGCAGTAAAAGCACCGCATAAGCTGAATGGAAGATTATATGTTTGATTAATTGTGATAATACTGCCATTAATCTCTCTTTATCATGTCTACTAAATTTTTAACAACGGGAATTATTATGATGAACTTGTTAGTTTTTAATACAGTATCTTGTATCAATCGAGTACTTTCATATTTAAACTTTTATAACTATCAATAATAAAATCCAGTTTAACGATAGTGTATAATCGAATTGTACAAATTTTAAACTCGATTGAATGCTTTATTTTTGTCCGAGAAAAGGTTCAAATAAAATAGCATGCCATGTTCAAATATTGTGTTTCATAGTTGACTTGAAGAGTGTGACCCACGTTTCCCCATCAATTTAATTTCTAAAATTTCTTCTCTTGACACGGATTTGCAATTGTTTATTTAGATAGCGTATCAAGAACTAGAATTTGTGGACAATAGTTCAGGGGGAAGCATGGGAATCGATGAAATAATAGAATATTAAGTAAGTATTTTCAACATGGTGTGAAGTACATGGTCTATTTAAATAGTATGCAATCACATTCACATGCAGTGTAAAAGCTAAGGCTACACACCAATACACTATTCAACTATATGAACTATCAATACGCGGGAACTCTAGGTAATGGTTCTTTTAGTCATCAATTCACTTGTGTAATCAAGTGAAATAAAGAAGAGTCGATATAATGAACGGGTCGTGAAACAAAATCACATTTCAATAAATTGGAGTATAATAAAAAGAGATTTTTCACCGTTAAATAGGGAATTTTGTTACCCTCCCGACAATTGAATTGCACATTAAACTCCTGAAAGCAACGGGAAAAGGAAATGTGATCCCAACAATGATGACACCACCACAAACATCCTATGTGTAATGTGTTCCCCTTCCGAGACTTATCTAAGACCCTTTTTGCATCACCGATAAAGCCACTCTCGTCGTCTCATATGGTGCACACACAAACGGACAATCCCGGAGTGCCATCAACTCCACCAGAGGGTTGAATCTAGTAAAAAATTAGATTGAATTTATAAAAAAAATAGTGATAAATTACATCCGATATGATTTAGTTTGGCTATTTAAGTTTTTTATTTGATCGGGACATGTGTATATCTCCATCCTTTTGTTTTAGGTAATAGAGATGACCGAACAAAAAACACGAATTTAATATAAAAAAACATAAATATGTTGGAGGATCAAATAAAATTCGAGTCAAATTTTATATTGACAATTCGAATACAATTCGATTCAGGGCCAAATATCGATTCAATATTTTTCCATGGATAATTATCCATATCAATAAATCAGGGATTGTAAAATTATGTCGGAGTTATACAAAAAAAAAGTCAGTGATAGAGTCTTTTGTACAAAAATCATGGTTTAAATTAATTAAATATTGTTTCAAAAATATAAAAACTACTTATTGATTTAGACTCCGATAAAAAAAATCGCGGGTCAAACCATCAATACAGTTTTACATGAAAATAAACCGAAATAGCCAAATTCACAAAATATTAATTGGATGGCTTTACAGCATTGAGAAGAGAATGGTTTTTTAGCAAAGTTTTGATTACTATTGACTAGGATAGGAAGGTATTATATATATTATTCCAATAAGAGGATGACGGATGAGGTGGAGAAGATATTAGTTTAAGCAAGTCAGTCCAAAAGTTAGCCGCAAAACGATACAAAACTGATTGATTCATTGGTTCATGGATCTTGTCTACACTCTACACGCTATATATATATATATATATATATATATATATATATATATATATATATATATATATATATATATATATATATATATATATATATATATATATATATATATATATATATATATATATAGGATTTGATTGTTAAGGGAACCATAGAAGGTGACAATTAACCTAATTAGGGGTAATGACGAAATCCCAATAGTATATTATTTATCAGTAGCGCAATTAGCTGTCACTAGCTAGGCATGTATACCTACTAAATTAATTAAGCAATAAAAAGTAGGGGTGGCTATACGGTCCGGTCCGGTTAAATTGGCCCAAATTGATCCGGTCCAGTCCGGTTTTTTTGAAAATATAAGGACCGAAGATTGGATTGGATACAGTCCGGTCTTGATCCGGTCCGGTCTTGACCCGGTCCGGTCCCAATTCGGTCTTGATTTTATATTGAGATTGTGGGAATTTGAGTGGCCTAAGGCCTAAAAGGGTGAGGAGTTGGTTAAGTTTTGTACTAAGTGCAAAGGTTTGTGACCGTTTATGCAAATTACCCTTAAGTTTTGGGTGTTGAGCTCTCTTATCCGGTCTTTATCCGGTTTTTTACCTCAAATCCAAGCCCAAAGATTGGATTGGATTGTTTACTATCCGGTCCCGGTCCGGTCTCGGTCCGGGTTATACGGTCCGGTTTCCGGTTTTTTATCCGGTCCCGGTCCAAATAGCCAGCCCTAATAAAAAGGTTAAGGGAGTGAGTGACAAACACAAAGAGTTATATACAAGCCATAATATTTCGATTGGTGTGCACAACTAAACTAGCTATATATACTAGATATGATCCATCTAATTCCAACCTGTAGATTCTTGTTTTGTTAATAATTATCTTCCAAAATGTGATTAATTAGCTAATTTCCAGCCATGTAACGTGTTTTGTAGTCCAACATGAGAAGGTGATCGATATATCGATATCAGAGTTTACGATGGGCATTTTTTTTAATTAAAATATATGTATTTCACACTGAGTTTCAAGGAGCTACTTACGATATATATTGACTAATTCACAAGTTGTTTTTGAGATTTTATTCTTAAGGATATACGTATTTTCGTGTTTAGTTTTTAGTAACCGAACTACAGTAGAGACACACATACAATTCTAACTTAATTCCATATTACCTATATTTAATTTGTAAAGCAAAACATTTGGCTCATTGCACTATAGCATACGTGGTGTGAAATGAAGCGTTAACTATATATGATCCATAATTTTGTTATTATGAATGTTAATGACCATATCAATAATTTCCATGTGGGAAATATGAGAAACATGACAACACAATTGTACAAAGCAGCGTAAACCGGCCAAAATCCATATCCAATAGTTTTTATTACTGAGGACATATGTTTATCATTGCGGGTATCAACAATCCTTTTTTCTCTTTTGTTATTGAATTCACCAATGTTTGTTTCCACTAGAGAAAAGCATCCTTTCCTTTCCTATCCATTTTGGGCCCGGATTCTGATGGATCGTGACGAATGAATATCCACCGGCCGGCCGGCCGGCCACCACCACCCACTAACTACTTTAGAGCTTTAGCATTATCGAGTGAATGGGAGGAGTTGTACTACTGTTGATCACATATATGTTCTGGTGGAGAAAAGGAGTAGCGTAGTGGATGTACATTTTTGAAGTGACAGACAGCAGCTTTAAATTTCACGTTACACACCTTGTTAAAGTTCTTCTCTATCTAGCTATCTATCTTTTGAACGTGGGATATCAATAGAGCATGAGTTTGCGTATAATGTAAAGTCACATAAGCAAAATCACCCCCAACTTCTTGTATACTAAACGAAGTATTTACTACCTGTGTTGAAAGTATAGATGAGTGTCTGTGATGTCCACTAAAATTGTGGTAGTAATGCCATTGACAAGGTAGTAATCATGCCCATGGAGACCATCCATTGGTGGATTCAAGTACTGATAATAATTATGTGATGCATATATAATGTCGCAGAAATGAATCACCACTATAAATTTCAGTGCCCCAGTTCTTCACAGTCTTTATTATCAAACCCACTTCTCCTCCTCGATCTATACAACCACAAGGCCAATCCTTATTTGCTTTGCCTTTGGGAATAGAGTGGAATAGACCCTCAACAACCACTAATAATAATAATACTCTAATAGTAATAGCACAGTAGAGATGGCAGCTTCACTTGAGGGATCGAATATATATATCATGTGTGTTCTGCCACGGCCAAATCTTTGGCATATCTCTTTACTTTGTCCTGGCTGGAATGGACTGTCACTGGTGCATGGGACAAGGGC